CGCCACTTCCGGTTTTCTGGTGGTTTATTGGAGATAGGAGTCTCATGGTCTCTCCTGCCCGGGCTGGCTTTGAACTGCGATCCTCAGATCTCAGCCTCCTGAGTAGCTAGGATTACAGGCGTGAGCCACCAGTGCCCGGCTTTAATTTTCAGCTTCTTATAGCCAGTCTAAAACACAGAAATCAAATGTGTGAATATGTCCTAGGTCAATGCCTATATTTTATAATTGTTTTATGTGTAACTACACAATATCCCATTGTGTAGGTATGTCATGCTTTACTTAGATTGTTTCTATTTTTGGCCACTTGGACAATTCCAATCCCTTGCTATTTTGAACGGGGTCACAGTGAATACCATGTACCTACTTACATTTTTTGCTTACTTGTGCATATATTTATGTATTTCCTTAGGATACATTTCTTCAAAGTGGGACTGCTGGGCCGAAGTCATGCCCATCCTAATTTTTTTTTGGGGGGGAGTGGTTGGTGCCAGTACTGAGATTTGAACTCAGGGCCTTTGATTCTCATTCAACTTCTTTTGCTTACAGCTGGTGCTTTACCACTTGAGCCATATCTCTTGTCTGGCATTTTGCTGGTTAACTGGTGATAGAGGTTTTTGGACTATTTGCCTGGGCTTGCTTTGAACCACAATCTTCATGTCTTATGCTCCTGAGTAGGAATATAGATGGGAGCCACAGGCATCCATGCTGTGGATATGTACTCCCAAATTGCCTTTCAGAAAGTTCCAGTCTTTTTCCATGGCCTGTAGCCATGTGGGTGAGATCCAAGAAATATCGTCTCCTTTAAAAGGAGATGGCACATCTCTGGCTGCAGGCTGGCTTGGCAGGGCTCCCAGCTGCTGCAGGAGCCCAACCTTCCCTACCTGTCTAGGGCATGGCTGGCTCCTTAGCGGTGGGGAGGTCCACACGCTGGAAACGGCAGGAGGACGGAGGGCAGAACCATCCCCACCTGAAGGTGCTGAAGGCGTGCGGCATACTGGGCTTCTTGCAAGAGTGTGGGGAGACCCTGTTCTCGCTCCGCTCTTGGACCCCTCTAGGGCGGGCTGGTGGTGGTCCCCAGCCTTCCTTGCTGTGCTCTGCCTCCCCCATCCCTACCTGACAGGTGACAGCAGTTCTGGCAGCACCTGGAGAGGGCAGGGCAGGCACACCCAGGGCATGTGAGTGCAGGAACGGGTGTGGATTGGAAGATGTCTGGCATGAGCACCAGGCTGTGGGAAGATTGTACGAGCACACGTGAGTGCGCATGCGTACCCTTGTGCCTGGGCAGTGGGGAACATGTGCGCGGTTATGTATGTGAGCGTGAGGGCTCATCGGTAGGCTTTTGCAGCAAATTGTGTGTGTGTGTGTGTGTGTGTGTGTGTGTGTGTGTGTGTGTGTGTGTATACCAATCTGGGGTTTGAACTCAGGGCCTGGGCACTGTCCCTGAGCTTTTTTGTTCAATGCTAGTGCTCTACCATTTGAGCCACAGCTCCACTTCTGGCTTTTTTGGTAGTTAACTGAAGAGTCTCATGGGCTTTCCTTCCTGGGACAATGTTGAAGCAGGATCCTCCGATCTCAGCCTCCTGAGTAGCTTGGATGACAGGCGTGAGCCACAGGTACCTTGCTGCAGTATGTTTTATTTGTCTTTTTTTTTGGTTGGTAGTGGGTCTTGAACTCAGGGCCTGGGCACTGTCCCTGAGCTCTTTTACTCAAGGCTAGTGCTCTACCACTTGAGTCACAGCTCCACTAGCAAATGTTATGTTCTTCCAGGTTTTCTTCCTGTTCCAGGACTAGGCTGGAGAATAACAGACCCATCAAGGCCAGGTGACTCCCTGGCTTCTGTGATCCAGCGCAGGGTCCTCCACACTCAGAACTTGCATGGCTTTCCATCTTTCTCTGTCTCTCCTCACATGAAGGATTTTGGAGACAAAGGTCAAGAAAGCCCACAGTGTTTAGATCTGATTCACCTCTTGCCCAAGGCTGAGGCTCCTGCTTGAATCAGGGGTGGGTCATACCTAGGGATTGGAGAAACCCCAGCTCAATAGTGCCAAGAATCATCTGGGTTGACCTGATGCATGAGCCTTGCTAATGTGGAGTGGTCCTAAGTCACTTTAACCCTCCTCTCCCCTCCCCATATTTCTTCTGCTATAAGAAGTTTGAAGCTGAGTGCCCGTGGCTCATGCCTGTAATCCCAGCTACTCAGGAGGCTGAGATCTGAGGATCACAGTTCAAAGCCAGCCTGGGTAGGAAAGTCTGTGAGACTCTTATCTCCAATTAACCACCAGAAAACCAGAAGTGGTGCTGTGGCTCAAGTGGTAGAGCACTCGCCTTGAGCTGAAGAGCTGAGGGACAGTGCTCAGGCCCAGAGTTCAAGTCCCACGAAGGACAAGAAAAAAAAAAAACGCAACCAGAATACAAAGAAATTTGGAATGCTGAGTGTCCATGGCTTCCTCCTGTAATCCTAGCTACTCAGGAGGCTGAGATCTGAGGATCCCAGTTTGAAGCTCGCTGGGCAGGAGAGCCTGAGAGACTCTGAGCTCTCTTGTGGCTTAAGTGGTAGAGCATCAGCCTTGAGTGAAAAAGCTAGGTAAGTCTCAGTGCCCAAGCTCTGAGCTGCAGCCCGAGTACCAGCACAAAGCAAAGCAAAGAATCGTGGAGGGGGGTGGAGGAGGAGGGGCCCTTGTGGGGCTGGTAGGGGCGAGGGGCCTTGGGCCAGCAGCTGCAGGTGGAGAGTTCCCTGAACCCCCAGTTACAGCCCAAGGGGCCTGGCAGGCTGCTGGGCCCCAGAGACTCCGCCAGGACTGCTCTGCTATGTAGTCCTCAGGGCGTCCAGGTTACCTTGGCATTATTGCTCAGTGTGTGTGTGTGGGGGGGAGAAGCATGGGGGAACATTCTGGAAGCAATATACACAGCTGCTGCCCAGCACATCGGGTGGCTATCGATCTCTTCCTTGGATCCCACAATCCCCTGCTAGCAGTCGCCCACCCCTCCTCCTCAGGGACCCAGGGAATTAAAACCAGGAGCCAAAAGTAGGCCCCTCCTTTGACGACCCTAGGACGAGGCCACGCCCCCTAGCCGCAGCGCGGCCACGCCCACCGCCCTGGCCTCATTTTCCACACGGTTGCCTGGGCTGGGCACGCGGGGTGCTTCTCCGAGCCGGACTGAGGCTGTGTCTGCCCTGGAGCGCCCTGGAGGTGCCAGCTCCGCAGGGTCACTATCTCCACCTCCAGCAGCCTTGCTGAGAGCCCCAGGAAGGGGCGAGGCTGTCCCCCTACTCTCTCCACTCTTCCCGGCCCAAGGTAGGTGCTTTTGCTAATTGATCACAAGTGAGAACACCTGTGGATGCAGCCATTACTTGCAAATTCCTAAAAACACC